TTTATTTCTGATGTATCGATAGATATTTGAAAGTAGAACCATTAGGGGCACAAATTTGGTGGCCTCAACAAATTTGTTTGTTTTGGTCCATAAATGCAACTGAATGGACCTCAAATATCCATCTGTCTTCAACAAGTTTCAACTTCTAGCCTCATAGCAATCGTGGTACTCCACATCACTGTAATGTTTTAGTTGTATGAAGTCGCTTTGGCTGTCAAGCTGAAAATGGGAAAAAAAAACTTTTAGTTACCAGGAATAAAATTAGAACACTCAATAAAAGCTCATCTGATTGTTTTGCAAAGAAATTTATGCCTGTAATTGCTTTAGGCTCAACTTCTAACTATTAGATCCAATGTTACTGTATAAATATGCCTCTGAAATGGAACCAAGATGTATCTAGTGGCATGCTAATGTAATGAATACAAGTACCAAGGCAAAAAGTTAAGGATAGGTTCCTGAATCTTCTAATTGTAATAGTTATTTTGTTTGTGTAGCGAAAGTAATTATATCATACCAATATGGTTGAACTAGGAAAATGCATATTGAAACATTTCCTCCATTTTAAATTAGGTTTAGTAGGTTTCTTCCTTGATGAATGTGATATTTCAAATTGGATTAATTGAGTTAAAGAATTTAGACACATTCATATGCTTCAATTTTTTTGTTTGGCTTGAGTTGCCACTAAATTCATACAAATACTTGGTTAGCATGTTTGGCAGAATTTGTTTAGCCACATCTCGAATTTTCGCCTACCCTCCACACCAAGATAATGTTACAAAATGATATGAAATGGGTGAGTGCTCGAAACTTGAGATCAACCCACGAGTACATTCCATGATGGAGTTGCTATTTAGTTGATCTAAATTTATCTGTTTCATAGTTGTCATGTAAGGGCTAACTTGAACATTTGCTACAGAATAATCGGACAGGTGAAGTGCCTGGTGAAAACTCGAAAACCATGTCCACTGAGGTTGTCTCCGCCATAAATGATGGCCTCTACTACTATGAGAAGGTTCCCAATCTTTTGTTAATTTCAGCTCTGCTTTCACCAGAATTAAAAACCAGAATCATCCAGAAACATCTTTGATTTGCAGGAGCTAAACCTGAAACGATCTCATCGTAGGCATTATAAGCCGTTTAATGAGAGCAGGGACGATAACTCCAGATCTTCTGCCAATGATCCTTCTTTATTGAACTCGAGGACTCAAGATCATTCCACTGGAGGAAGCAGCTTGGAAGGTCCAGGACTTTCTATCTCTCGAAGGAAGCATAACAAAGGAAGCTCTAAGTCGCACTCCATCTACAAACAGCGTTTGTTTCATGGCAACTTCAGAGTTCATGGGAGTGGTCAAAACTCTGTTGGCGTTATATCCGAAAGTCCTCCCACTGATGCTGTGGGGTTCTTCTTTGGGTCCACCCCCCCAGATACTCATGGGTGAAAATCATAAATTTTCGCATTCTTCTTTTTCTTCTTCTATATTACCAACTAGTTTGCAGAGTTTTAATCATGTGAACCGGAATTTTTGGCCTGCTACTGCTTATGGGACAGGAATAATTTTGTATCTCTATTTTTATTATTGATGTCCCTTTTCACCCTCCCTGCTTGTGTTCGCGGAGACAACTGGTTATATATAAATTTTCTGATATCTAAAACTCAAATCAATTCTGCAGATTAAGGCCTTCAAAGTTGAGTGCTTCACCTCGCAGTAATCTCTCAGGAACTAGTCCGCCAGTTGGATCAGCCCCAAAATCGTTTCAACCATTTCAGCATCCAAGTCATAAACTTCTAGAGGAAAATGGCTTTAAGCAGCAGCTGTAAGCAGTTCCAATTAAAAGCAATATTGTTTTTGAGTGGCATTTTAGACATTCAGATCCAGATAATGGAAATTTTGGATTAATTACTGTTCTAACTTCCGTATCTGCCTGCATAGATATTTCTCTAGGATTCTGTAAGTTGTTACTGAGTTGAAGCCTGTTCTCAGGTACAAAAAGTATCACAACCGTTGCCTTAGCGAACGGAAAAAACTTGGCATTGGTTGCAGTGAGGTATCTTTTAAACTGTTACTAGGTTATTACTTAGAACAATTTATCTATTCTGATTTCCTAGAATTCAATCAGCATGGGATTACCGTTGTAACTTCATTTAGTGTGCGCCATATCATGTTTTCTGTTCCTAAGGGCATGTTGGTAACTGTATGCATATTTATATATGTGGTTGCTGACCTCTATTACTTTTGAGGCTCCTGGCAGATATTGTCACTTTTTGTTAGTTCCGTGATTTCTTTAGGGTGACTACCCTCAAGAAAGCCTAATCTTTGTGCTTGATTATATTTGAGATTAAGATAATAATCAGTCATTTTCCACGTGTTTAAAGCAAGTTTTACATTCTCTCACGGTTTTGCCCCATGATTTTTTTATATTGATGCTTATGGTCCTCTATTTATAAATTGTTGAATTTGATGATTAAACTCAGAGATTAGAAGCACAGCTTATCATGTGCCACCTATTGTTAGTAGTTTATCCAATGATGCCCAAGGTGTTGACCTATGCATAATTTGACTCTACTTGCAGGAGATGAATACATTATACAGGTTTTGGTCATTTTTCTTGAGGAACATGTTTGTACCTTCCATGTATAATGAATTCAAGAAGTATGCTCTCGAAGATGCTGCAGCTGGTTACAACTATGGGATAGAGTGCCTATTCAGGTTTTATAGGTAGGAATTATTGCGTAGCTTGGTTTGCTGCTCATAAATACTTTTGGTTGTGAATTTTCTCATAGTTATTCTTCATCTCCTTGGCTTACCTCTTTCTTCTCTATCGTGATTGACTTTTCTCCATGCACATTTCCTTTTAAGACTGCCCAGTATTCTTCTCATTTCTTGTTTCAGTTATGGTCTGGAGAAAGAGTTCAAAGAGGAGCTTTATGAGGATTTCGAACAACTCACTATTGACTTTTATAAAAAGGGAAACCTTTACGGCTTGGAAAAGTATTGGTAAGTATATCTTGCTTCAACAAGTCTGATAGTGTATTTATGGATAACTAGTGTTAAAAGTTATGTTTGTCCCATATCAATTAGTTACTGGGCAGTTATTGTGTATAAGTGTCAGTTGAGTACCCTTTCCTTTTGAGCTAGTTTTTGGGGATGAGTTCTATCCTTAGCTCATTTATCATGGTATTAGAGCACCTCGGTTGGTTTTGTTTGGAGGCGATGTTCGGTTTGGACCCAGGCCATTTTTCTTTCTTTCCATGTTCATTTCTTTTTCTTCTTTGCAATTAATCAGATTCCTTTTATTCCAATTTCCAAATGTCTGCTTTTGAGACTAAGCATACTCCTTTCTCGCCAAACCAATCTTGCGGTGTATGGATTTTATTTTGTCTTCATGCCTGCTTTTAATTTTTTTCTTGTAAAAGTGAGCAATGTTGGTGAATCGTATTCGCCATCGAGTTCAGTAATAGTTTTGGCGTAGCAATACTTGTACTGGCATAGTTATTTCTCTTTCCTGCATATCAAACTATTGTTGACACTAATGTTACTCTTATCCTTAGGGCATTCCACCATTATCGGGAGGTGCGTGACCATAAAGAACCTCTTAAGAAACATCCCGAATTGGATACACTGCTAAAAGAGGAGTACCACAGTATGGATGACTTCAGGCGTGCCAAAACTAAGAATGCGGCTACCAATTATAACCTCAGAGATGCTAATCATTAAGTCGGCGGGTGATCTACAGGGCTCACTTAGCAGTTGCAATTGGCTGATAATCTCAAGTTTTGGCAAAGGAGAAAGCTAACTGTTTTTATAGAGCAGAAACAAAAACTGAAGTTGATGCCCGTTCTTTGGACATGGGAACTGAGGGCGATGATTTCTGTAAATAGAATGTCCACATATGGTGGAATAGTTGGGTTCCATCATCTGTCAGGTAGATGTGCTGCTGTTTGATGCCCCAGGGAAATTCGAAATTTCGATCTTCCTATTGGGTGTTTTAGTTTTGGGGTCTCGTCGTGTCGAGACATTTTCTTCCGCCTGAGTTTGTAACTTGTACATATCTTAATCAACTTTAAAAAAACCTAAAAAACAAAAAAATAAAAAATAAAAAAAAAAAATAAAAAAAAGGGATAATAAGAACGTAAGGACTCGTAACATGGATTTTGGGCAGATTTTAAACTGCATTTTTGAAATATGGCTCACTTGTTTTTTATTCCGTTTTTTTCTAGTTTAGTGTGCTGTTTTTCGTTGCATTGAAACCTGGAAACGTGTTCAAAATTTTTGTTGTGATGCATGAGAAAATATTTTCTTCACCAACGATGCAGGAATTTTCAATTTCGTTATATTTTACATTCTTTTTTAGGGTAATTATAATTATTATCGGCATTTTCTTTGCTTATTATATCCTATATAAAGCTAAATTACAAAATGAATCAAAAAATTTACTTCAATTATTATTTCTAAAAGTTCACCTTCGGCAATTCGATGTACACTTTTATTTTTATTTATTTTTTGACAACGAGACACTCAGACACATACGTAGATATCAACGATCGGTGAACGTGGTCGATGTGTGTAGTAAAATATAAATCTCAAGACTTCCATGTAAAAAGTGGATCTATTGCTTGTGACATTCAAGTGTGTAGTAAAATATAAATCTCAAGACTTCCATGTAAAAAGTGGATCTATTGCTTGTGACACTTGAATGTGTGTCGGATTTATCACAGATGTAAGCTATGTTAGAAAGGGGAGGGGGCAGGGGAGGTTGGCAACAGCGGATCAAGAAATTTTCATGAGTCAGAGCAAAAAATAATTGATTATTTTTTTTAACCATATTGTACAAAGTACTTATATTAACAATAAAATAAATCGTTGGAGCAATTGGGTGTTGAGGATTTTTTCTATTCAATTTGCCGTTGACTTGATGCTAAAAAATAAAATTGAGAATGAGGTCGGTTATTTTATTTTGTATTATGAAATATATCAAAATATTTTACTATCCTTTTTCATTCACTTTTTTTTTTTTTTTTTTTTTTTTTT